CATTCATTGCACTGCAGTTCTTTGAGTCATGGAGGCTCCGCATCATGTATGGGTGATGTTGGATGAGAAGACCTGGATCACCATTGGCGTTCCAGTTCATCCCAAAGGTGTTGAGTAGGGAGAGGTCAGGGCTCTGTGCAGGACATTCGGGTTCCTTCAGGACCTTAAACCTACTGAACACCTTTGGGATGAGGTCTTCTCATCCATAGGATGAAGGGCAGGGTACTGATGTTGGATGCTGGATAATAGGACCTTATAGCAAAAGACTTCCAAAAGTGGGGTTGAGGTCTGGGCTCTGTACAGGACACTGGAGTTCCTCCACACCAAACTGGTCACTTTCCAATTCATCCCAAAGGTGTTTCAGTAGGGAGAGAGTCTGGGCTCTGTACAGGACATTCGAGTTCCTCCATGACCTCACCCCTACTGAACACCATTGGGGTGAGGAGACCTCATGTCAGACGTGTTCTGTAGGGTTGAGGGCAGGTACTGATGTTGGGTGAGAAGACCTTATACCAAAAGTAGGGCTGAGGTCAGGGCTCTGTACAAGAACCCTGGAGTTCCTCCACACCAAACTGGTCCTCTGTCTTTATGGAGCTGGCTTTGTACACGGGGGACAGTCATGGGGGGACAGAAAAGGGTCTTCACCAAACTGGTCATCCATGTCTTTATGGAGCTGGCTTTGTGCACGGGGGACAGTCATGGGGGGACAGAAAAGGGTCTTCACCAAACTGGTCCTCCATGTCTTTATGGAGCTGGCTTTGTACATGGGGGACAGAAAAGGGTCTTCACCAAACTGGTCATCCATGTCTTTATGGAGATGGCTTTGTACACAGGGGAAAGTCATGGGGGGACAGAAAAGGGTCTTCACCAAACTGGTCCTCCATGTCTTTATGGAGATGGCTTTGTACACGGGGGACAGTCATGGGGGGGACAGAAAAGGGTCTTCACCAAAAGGGCTTATTGCGATTTTTGTTTTTGGAAGTGCATGCTTACGCTGACACCCAGGCATTGGAAATTGCCTACGCTCCCTCTATAATGGAGAAGGGTGGCAGAGCTGAATCATGATCTGAGGCTGGAGGAATCCGCTGTTTGTATTCATGGAAACTATACGAAGTTTATGGCGTTATGGTATGCTTGGATAGATTTCTCCTCCTCCCCCAAGCTGCAGCCATTCCTGTGACTATGGTCACAATCGCTTCATTTTTTTTTTTTTTTTTTTCTGGCCGGAATAAGCAATCAGTCTGCCAGTTGGGCAGGATTCCCCCTTCTTCTGATTCTTCCTCTTTTAGCTTTTTTTTTATATCTTTTCTGGAATTTTTTTCCTTCCCAGTATTCCTTATTGTGCACCTGTGGAGGAGTGGAACTCCTGACCCATTTTCAGTGTGAATCCCTGAACAGAATTCACCCCCCCTTTTTTTTTTTTTTTTTTTTTTTTTTTATTCCTTTTTTTTTTTTTTTTTTTCCAGAACAATATGTTTTCTGCTTGCTGCATAAAATTTCACCGATGACCGATTGGCTACCTTTCCTTTGAGTCATGGAACAAGTATTGTGACACTCCCGTTGTCTGTGTGGTTCAATGTTTATGTTGGCACATTGTATTGCTGTTCTTGTTGAAAAAATTTAGTAAAGGGTTCCCCCCCCCCCCCCCCCCCCCACAAAAAAAGAAAGGTCTTCCCCAAACTGTGCCAACAAGGCAGGAAGAGCACAACTGTCCCCAATGTGATGGAGCTTGACCAGAACTCCTCACTTGGGGACACCTGAATTCCATCATTAGGGGGTCCTCATAAGGACATTCACCATATTTATTACATTTTGTTTTCAGTTTAAAGGCCTTTATTGTGGATTCAAAAGAAGACGATGACTTTGATTCCATGTTTTCAAATGGTGGAAAGGGAACCCAAAGCAGAAATGGTATGTGAAGGTCACATGGTCCAATTGCCGGAATTCCATAAAGCAAACCTACATTCCAGTCCTCCTGTCATCTATAGGGATGAAGACCTCGGCCCTGGTATCTAGGAGCCCTCTGAAGGCCGTGGTGTCCTCGCAGTGGAACGATTCTCCTGTCTTTATAAGTGACAGCGATGAAGATTCCATAGTTATAAAGAGTACCTGGTCCGACAGACACAGAACAAACCGAAACCCCAAGGATAAAGGTCAAAGGGCAAAGTCTGTGCAGAAAAACACCAAGGAAAATGTCCTGCACCCTCCGAATGACAAATCCTCGGGGAGGCCAGCGGTGCCCGACCCCAAATTCTGTACACCTGTGAGCTCCGATGACGAGTTTGAGAGTCTTATGGACCGCATTAGGAACCGGACAAAGAACCAAACACCGGGTTCCACCGCAAGGAGAGAGAAACCCAAATCTGCACAAACAGGTTCACTTACTTTGTTCTTTACCAATATTAACCACTTGCTGACCACTGTTCATATATAAACATCCTGTCAGCTGATGGATATACCGCATGGCAGCGGCAGCCATGGTTCTGGTGTCGATATTTACAGCTGTCATCGGCTAGTAAAAGTGTTTGGGTGGTTCTACAGCCGCCTGATCACTTTTACTTGCCACACCCCTCTCACTACCACCAACAGAGGTTCTCAGACTCTCCCAGTCCTCTGGTAAGCCTGGGACCGCGGTGAATGATTGGGATCACACAGAGGAGACGGACGAACATCCGTTCCTCGATCCCCTCTGTGAATGATCGGGATCACGCAGAGGAGACGGACGAACATCCGTTCCCTGATCCCCTCTATAAATGATCGGGATCACGCAGAGGAGACGGACGAACATCCGTTCCTCGATCCCCTCTGTGAATGATCGGGATCACGCAGAGGAGATGGACGAACATCCGTTCCCTGATCCCCTCTATAAAATGATCAGGATCATGCAGAGGAGACGGACGAACATCCAATCCCCTCTAAATGATCGGGATCACGCAGAGGAGACGGACGAACATCCGTTCCTTGATCCCCTCTATAAATGATCGGGATCACGCAGAGGAGATGGACGACCCTCTATAAATGATCAGGATTGTGCAGAGGAGACGGACATCATCCGTTCCCTGATCCCCTCTATAAATGATCGGGATCATGCAGAGGAGACGGACGAACATCCGTTTCCTGATCCCCTCTATAAATGATCGGGATCACGCAGAGGAGATGGACGACCCTCTATAACTGATCGGGATCGTGCAGAGGAGACGGACGAACATCCGTTCCCTGATCCCCTCTATAAATGATCGGGATCATGCAGAGGAGACGGACGAACATCCGTTCCCTGATCCCCTCTATAAATGATCGGGATCATGCAGAGGAGACGGACGAACATCCGTTCCCTGATCCCCTCTATAAATGATCGGGATCATGCAGAGGAGACGGACGAACATCCGTTCCCTGATCCCCTCTATAAATGATCGGGATCACTCAGAGGAGATGGACGACCCTCTATAAATGATCGGGATCGTGCAGAGGAGATGGACGACCCTCTATAAATGATCGGGATCGTGCAGAGGAGACGGACGAAAATTCATACCCTGATCCTCTCTGTAAATGATCAGGATCGCGCATAAGAGGCGGACGAACATTCGTACCCCTGATCCCCTCTATAAATGATCGGGATCGTGCAGAGGAGATGGACGACCCTCTATAACTGATCGGGATCGTGCAGAGGAGACGGACGAACATCCGTTCCCTGATCCCCTCTATAAATGATCGGGATCATGCAGAGGAGACGGACGAACATCCGTTCCCTGATCCCCTCTATAAATGATCGGGATCATGCAGAGGAGACGGACGAACATCCGTTCCCTGATCCCCTCTATAAATGATCGGGATCATGCAGAGGAGACGGACGAACATCCGTTCCCTGATCCCCTCTATAAATGATCGGGATCATGCAGAGGAGACGGACGAACATCCGTTCCCTGATCCCCTCTATAAATGATCGGGATCATGCAGAGGAGACGGACGAACATCCGTTCCCTGATCCCCTCTATAAATGATCGGGATCATGCAGAGGAGATGGACGACCCTCTATAAATGATCGGGATCATGCAGAGGAGATGGACGACCCTCTATAACTGATCGGGATCGTGCAGAGGAGACGGACGAACATCCGTTCCCTGATCCCCTCTATAAATGATCGGGATCGTGCAGAGGAGAGACGGACGAACATCCGTTCCCTGATCCCCTCTATAAATGATCGGGATCACGCAGAGGAGATGGACGACCCTCTATAAATGATCGGGATCACGCAGAGGAGACGGACGAACATCCGTTCCCTGATCCCCTCTATAAATGATCGGGATCGTGCAGAGGAGACGGACGAACATCCGTTCCCTGATCCCCTGTATAAATGATCGGGATCGTGCAGAGGAGACGGACGAACATCTGTTCCCCGATCCCCTCTGTGAATGATCGGGATCACGCAGAGGAGACGGACGAACATCCGTTCCCCGATCCCCTCTGTGAATGATCGGGATCGTGCAGAGGAGACCGACGAACATCCGTTCCCTGATCCCCTCTATAAATGGTCGGGATCACGCAGAGGAGACGGATGAACATCCGTTCCTTGATCCCCTCTATAAATAATCGGGATCACGCAGAGGAGATGGATGAACATCTGTTCCTTGATCCCCTCTATAAATGATCGGGATCGCGCAGAGGAGACGGACGAACGTCCGTTCCCTGATCCCCTCTGTGAATGATTGAGCTGGAAGTGAGGATGATCAGTCAGGGATGCAGCCAATCACGCACCGTATGTTCTAGAATGGGAAGTCCAGCAGACTCCTGTCGGTATCGGGAATGTCTTGGTTAATATTTGGCCGGTGAAAGGAAACTAGAGAAGTGCTGGAAGGTTTAATGAATTGTCTGTACAAGAAGGGAGTTTTCAGGGATGTGGAGGTGCGGAATGTATGAAATCGATAAACATTGCTTCGTTTTCACTGACCGATTGTGTTTTTCTATCAGAACTGGTGAAGGGTCCTTGCTTGGATCTAACCAACAAAAAGAAGGTTGAAGCAAAGCCGAGACCTCAGTCGTGTTCAGACATCTCTACAAGTCCGTTCTTCCCTTCTGACCAACTTGTGGACGAACCTCAGGATGACGGAGGAAAGCCCCACCCAGGAAAGACGTGAGTGCCTCCTAGTGCTGACATACACGTCACTGCTGGGAGGGGGCGCAGGGAGGGCTGTGCTGACTAAAGTGGGACTACACTGCATCTGAGCAGCACAAACCAAAAACTCAAACATTTAATATTCAAAGCAAACTCCTCCATCCATGTTTTGGCCATCCATTCATGTCTCCATCCATGCCTCCACCCGTCCATCCATCCATGTCTCCATCCATGCCTCCACCCGTCCATCCATTCATGTCTCCATCCATGCCTCCACCCGTCCATCCATCCATGCCTCCACCCGTCCATCCATCCATGTCTCCATCCATGCCTCCACCCGTCCCATCCATCCATGTCTCCGCCCACCCAATCGAGCGATCGATCGATCCATGTCTCTGCCCGTCCATCGATCGGATCATCCATCCATGTCTCCATCCATGCCTCCACCCGTCCATCCATCCATGTCTCCATCCATGCCTCCACCCGTCCATCCATCCATGTCTCCGCCCCACCCAATCGAGCGATCGATCCATGTCTCTGCCCGTCCATCGATCGGATCATCCATCCACCTGTCCATCCATCCATCCATGTCTCAGCCCATCCATGTCTCGTTTCCTTGCTTTATTTGGTTGAAAAATCACTGTGAAAGACACTCCCCCCCCCCAGCATTTCTGGCCATAGCCATCTTAAGGGCAGATGATTCATGTAGCATTTACTTCCTGGAATCCATCTGCCCTTAGCTCGGGCATGTAAGCAGGAGGGTGTGCTTAGCTGAGAGTCCCTTTTTGAATGTATGACATCATTATAGCCTAGGCATGGGATCCAGGAGGTCTAGAAATGTACAAAAAAAAAGTTTAACACCAGTAAATCTGCTGTCCCTTCCTATATATTTACTAATGCTGGCCGTATACGGATCACACAGAGCCGATGCTGATGGAGAAAGCGAAGTTCCACTTTAAGCCGTCCATGACCAACCAGAGTCCCCACTCAGAGATAGATAGATGACCTGAGTGGCTGCTGGGAGGGGGTGTACAGGGCAAGCTGAGCGACTGCTGGGAGGGGGTGTAGAGGGCGAGCTGAGCGACTGCTGGAAGGGGGTAGGAAGGGCGAGCTGAGCGACTGCTAGAAGGGGGTAGGAAGGGCGAGCTGAGCGACTGCTGGGAGGGGGTAGGAAGGGCGAGCTGGGAGGAGGTGGACAGGGGGAGCTGAGTGACTGCTAGGAGGGCGAGCTGGGGTAGGAAGGGCGAGCTGGGAGGGGGTAGGAAGGGCGAGCTGAGTGACTGCTGGGAGGGGGTAGGAAGGGCGAGCTGAGTGACTGCTGGGAGGGGGGCGGAGATAGGAAGGGACAGGGCGAGCTGAGTGACTGCTGGGAGGGGGTAGGAAGGGCGAGCTGAGTGACTGCTAGGAGGGGATAGGAAGGGCGAGCTGAGAGGAGGTGGACAGGGCGAGCTGAGTGACTGCTGGGAGGGGGTAGGAAGGGCAAGCTGAATGACTGCTGGAAGGGACGAGTAGAATGAGCCGAGTAAATGCTGAGAGGAGAGTAGAGCGAGCCGAGTAAATGCTGAGAGGGGAGTAGAGCGAGCCGAGTAAATGCTGAGAGAGGAGTAGAGCGAGCCGAGTAAATGCTGAGAGGGGAGTAGAGCGAGCCGAGTAAATGCTGAGAGGGGAGTAGAGCGAGCCGAGTAAATGCTGAGAGGGGAGTAGAGCGAGCCGAGTAAATGCTGAGAGAGGAGTAGAGCGAGCCGAGTAAATGCTGAGAGGGGAGTAGAGGGAGCCGAGTAAATGCTGAGAGGGGAGTAGAGGGAGCCGAGTAAATGCTGAGAGGGGAGTAGAGGGAGCCGAGTAAATGCTGAGAGGGGAGTAGAGGGAGCCGAGTAAATGCTGCTGAGAGGGGAGTAGAGGGGGAGCCGAGTAAATGCTGAGAGGGGAGTAGAGGGAGCCGAGTAAATGCTGAGAGGGGAGTAGAGGGAGCCGAGTAAATGCTGAGAGGGGAGTAGAGGGAGCCGAGTAAATGCTGAGAGGGGAGTAGAGGGAGCCGAGTAAATGCTGAGAGGGGAGTAGAGCGAGCCGAGTAAATGCTGAGAGGGGAGTAGAGGGAGCCGAGTAAATGCTGAGAGGGGAGTAGAGGGAGCCGAGTAAATGGTGAGAGGGGAGTAGAGGGAGCCGAGTAAAATGGTGAGAGGGGAGTAGAGGGAGCCGAGTAAATGCTGAGAGGGGAGTAGAGGGAGCCGAGTAAATGCTGAGAGGGGAGTAGAGGAGCCGAGTAAATGCTGAGAGGGGAGTAGAGGGAGCCGAGTAAATGCTGAGAGGGGAGTAGAGGGAGCCGAGTAAATGCTGAGAGGGGAGTAGAGGGAGCCGAGTAAATGCTGAGAGGGGAGTAGAGGGAGCCGAGTAAATGCTGAGAGGGGAGTAGAGGGAGCCGAGTAAATGCTGAGAGGGGAGTAGAGGGAGCCGAGTAAATGCTGAGAGGGGAGTAGAGGGAGCCGAGTAAATGCTGAGAGGGGAGTAGAGGGAGCCGAGTAAATGCTGAGAGGGGAGTAGAGGGAGCCGAGTAAATGCTGAGAGGGGAGTAGAGGGAGCCGAGTAAATGCTGAGAGGGGAGTAGAGGGAGCCGAGTAAATGCTGAGAGGGGAGTAGAGGGAGCCGAGTAAATGCTGAGAGGGGAGTAGAGGGAGCCGAGTAAATGCTGAGAGGGGAGTAGAGGGAGCCGAGTAAATGCTGAGAGGGGAGTAGAGGGAGCCGAGTAAATGCTGAGAGGGGAGTAGAGGGAGCCGAGTAAATGCTGAGAGGGGAGTAGAGGGAGCCGAGTAAATGCTGAGAGGGGAGTAGAGGGAGCCGAGTAAATGCTGAGAGGGGAGTAGAGGGAGCCGAGTAAATGCTGAGAGGGGAGTAGAGGGAGCCGAGTAAATGCTGAGAGGGGAGTAGAGGGAGCCGAGTAAATGCTGAGAGGGGAGTAGAGGGAGCCGAGTAAATGCTGAGAGGGGAGTAGAGGGAGCCGAGTAAATGCTGAGAGGGGAGTAGAGGGAGCCGAGTGACTTCTGGGAAATGAAGCCAGTTGAGCTGCTCAGTCTCTGCTGGGGGGGGGGGGGGAGCAGGATGGCCTGGATTTGGTCATTGTGGGTGGGAGGCTCTGTCAGGTAGAGATGTTTGCACTTTATACCGGCAGCAGAGATGATTTATTTTGATGTTTTTCCTTCTCCCCTTCTTGCCGTATTTAGGGGGTTTCCATGTAAAGTACAAGGCTGCTTTCTGAGCGATCTTTCTCGTCAGACGTCCCTCTATGTGAAGGATTTCAAACAGAAAAAACATGAACTTGCTCCCAGGCTGTACAGTCTTTACAATCGCACCATCTTTGATGAACAGGTACGCTGAGCCAAGTCTGTTCTGTGTCTTCAGAGTACATTTTCCTCTAATCCACTGTGATTGGTGCCAGTGAGATGACATCACAAAGCAAAACCCCCGAGGCACAGTGACCGTCTTTATAAAGGGAGAGTGAGACGACTCCATCCAATAGGCTGACCTTCAGGTGTAGAGACTCCCCATCTGATGGGCCGACCTCCTTCAGGTTAGAGAGACCTCCCCATCCCATGGGCCGACCTCCTTCAGGTTAGAGAGACCTCCCCATCCGATGGGCCGACCTCCTTCAGGTTAGAGACCTCCCCATCCCATGGGCCGACCTCCTTCAGGTTAGAGAGACCTCCCCATCCGATGGGCCGACCTCCTTCAGGTTAGAGAGACCTCCCCATCCCATGGGCCGACCTTCTTGAGGTGTAGAGACCTCCCCATCCCATGGGCCGACCTTCTTGAGGTGTAGAGGCCTCCCCATCCCATGGGCCGACCTTCTTGAGGTGTAGAGGCCTCCCCATCCCATGGGCCGACCTTCTTGAGGTGTAGAGACCTTCCCATCCCATGGGCCGACCTTCTTGAGGTGTAGAGACCTCCCCATCCCATGGGCCGACCTTCTTGAGGTGTAGAGGCCTCCCCATCCCATGGGCCGACCTTCTTGAGGTGTAGAGGCCTCCCCATCCCATGGGCCGACCTTCTTGAGGTGTAGAGGCCTCCCCATCCCATGGGCCGACCTTCTTGAGGTGTAGAGGCCTCCCCATCCCATGGGCCGACCTTCTTGAGGTGTAGAGGCCTCTCCCCATCCCATGGGCCGACCTTCTTGAGGTGTAGAGGCCTCCCCATCCCATGGGCCGACCTTCTTGAGGTGTAGAGACCCCCATCCCATGGGCCGACCTTCTTGAGGTGTAGAGGCCTCCCCATCCCATGGGCCGACCTTCTTGAGGTGTAGAGACCTCCCCATCCCATGGGCCGACCTTCTTGAGGTGTAGAGGCCTCCCCATCCCATGGGCCGACCTTCTTGAGGTGTAGAGGCCTCCCCATCCCATGGGCCGACCTTCTTGAGGTGTAGAGAGGCCTCCCCATCCCATGGGCCGACCTTCTTGAGGTGTAGAGGCCTTCCCCATCCCATGGGCCGACCTTCTTGAGGTGTAGAGGCCTCCCCATCCCATGGGCCGACCTTCTTGAGGTGTAGAGGCCTCCCCATCCCATGGGCCGACCTTCTTGAGGTGTAGAGGCCTCCCCATCCCATGGGCCGACCTTCTTGAGGTGTAGAGGCCTCCCCATCCCATGGGCCGACCTTCTTGAGGTGTAGAGGCCTCCCCCATCCCATGGGCCGACCTTCTTGAGGTGTAGAGGCCTCCCCATCCCATGGGCCGACCTTCTTGAGGTGTAGAGGCCTCCCCATCCCATGGGCCGACCTTCTTGAGGTGTAGAGACCTCCCCATCCCATGGGCCGACCTTCTTGAGGTGTAGAGACCTCCCCATCCCATGGGCCGACCTTCTTGAGGTGTAGAGACCTCCCCATCCCATGGGCCGACCTTCTTGAGGTGAAGAGCCGTCCCCATCCCATGAGCCGACCACCTTGAGGTGAAGAGCCGTCCCTCATTCAGAAAGGACTTGTTTTGTGTTTTCTCCTCTTAGCTCCCCGACAACCTGGAAATTCTGTGGAATAAAAAGATGAGGAAGACGGCCGGCTACTGTGTGACGGGAGAGAGGAAACTCCCCGCTCTGCAGAGATATGCCAGGATAGAACTGTCCGAAAAAGTCTGCGATTCTGCAGGTATATGAATCCAAAGGGATGCGGACATTATAGGAGCGATGATGGGAGGACGTGAGGGCGGCGGGAGGACGTGAGGGCGGCGGGAGGACGTGAGGGCGGCGGGAGGACGGCGGCGGCGGGAGGACGTGAGGGCGGCGGGGGGACGTGAGGGCGGCGGGGGGACGTGAGGGCTAGGCGACGGGGGGACGTGAGGGCGATGGGAGGACGACGGGTGGACGTGAGGGCGGCGGGTGGACGTGAGGGCGTAGGGGATCGGGGGGGACGTGAGGGCGGCGGGTGGACGACGGGTGGACGTGAGGGCGACGGGTGGACTGGAGGACGTGAGGGCGACGGACTATGGACGTGAGGGCGGCGGGTGGGAGGACGTGAGGGCGGCGGGGACTATGTGTGAGGGCGGCGGGTGGACGTGAGGGCGTAGGGCGATGGGAGGACGACGGGTGGACGTGAGGGCGACGGTGGACGTGACAACTGTGTGATGTGTCCTTTGTTGTCTTCTATTTATTCACTTTTTCTAATTCTTGCCATTTCCAAATGTCTTCCGACTGGTCACGTGACGTGCAGCGCATGTATATAGAGTCTGAGGGCCTGACACGTGGGGGTGGTTCTGTGTTGTCTTTGACAACCAAAATCACAATTAGAAGTTTTTTGGACTCCCAGATTGGCGCTGACTTTGTACTCCGTTCACACCGGTCTCCAATTCCGGACCCCGTGCCTGAAGGGTATCCTGTTGTAGTGGGCGGAGTCATCAGAGCCATGGTCATTTATTGCATTTTGTTCGATGTGAGTCCAGCACCTCGCCTCTCCTTGTTCCATATGACGTGTCCTCAGGTCTTCTCTGGCGGGGAGCGGCCCTCAGTGTGATGACATCATTGCATGAGTGCAGTTTAGTTCATCTTTGTTGGGGTGTTTTTGGTCTTTTTTGGGGGGGTTATAAGAAGCAGCAGCAGCACATTTTCTCTGGTGGTCCCCTGATTGAGGTGAGGGGATCCTGGCCAGTGAGCGATGTCCCCGAGGTTCTCCACGCCTTGTAGCTCCAGACATGGACAGTTGGTTTTTGTGTTTTATGATGTTTCTATTGATGTGTTATCTGGGGTGACTGACAACTCATGGGGCCCCCGGGCAATAGGGGATCATGGGGCCCCCGTGTCCTTGCCCACACTCAAAGCACACCCAAAAAAAGCCTATAAAAGGTACCAGGGGCATTTCATGGGGCCCTCTAATGATGCCGGGCCCTCGGGCAGTGCCCGAAGTGCTCTAATGGTCAGTCCGCCCCTGTGTGTTATCCATTGTGTACTGAAGTCCCCGCCTTCCTATTCCTGATCCTTAAGGTGGTCCTAAAGGCAGAAAGGTCTTCTCTGCAATCATAAAAAACCTGTGACCAGCTGCCCCCCAGACCGCCCCCCAACACTATATACCATTGGCTCCTGCTAATCACAGTCTGTGAGAAGGGGGCGGGGCTGAGCCATACTGTGTGTGTCAATAGACACAGCGCGTGGCTCAGTATTGAGGCCGCATGAGTGCCCCCATAGCAAGTGGCTTGTTATAGGGGCACTCAGAAGGCAGGAGGAGCCAGGAACAGCAGCGGGGGACCCTAGAAGAGGAGGATGGGGGCTCCTCTATGCAAAACCAATACAGAGCCGGGAAGTATGACAGGTTATTTTAGCAAGTACACTCCTCGGGGGCGGGGCTGATGTGAATGTACAATATATATGTACAACACTGACTACATTGATGGCGCTCAGGGGTGTGTGGAGATATTTTGAAAAAGACTTGCCCAGGGACTAAATCAGGGTCCCAATCTACTTGTCCTGCTAAAAAATGTACATTTTAACCAAAACCGTGTTTAAATCTGAGGTTCTGTTGGGGCTTTTACACTCAAAAGGGGCTTTATGGCGATTTAAAAAACGTTTAATATTTGTAACATTGTGCTGTTTATCTCCTCCTCCTATCTTCAGCCCCGCCCCTGCGGACTAGCAGGGAGGAGACACACCTTGCAGTGTAATGAGCACCGATTGGCTGCTCCTCAGGAAAGGGGCGTGTCCAGCTTATTCTTTTATCCCTTTTGCTGTCAGAGCCGTTTTTGAATTTTTTGCTCAAGTTTAACCACTTCCAGTCCGGACACTTTCCCCCCCCTTCCAGTCCGGACACTTTACCCCCCCTTCCAGTCCGGACCTTCCCCCCCTTCCAGTCCGGACACTTTCCCCCCTTCCCCGGGGGGGGGTGACACCCCCCCTTCCAGTCTGGACACTTTCCCCCCTTCCAGTCCGGACACTTTCCCCCCCTTCCAGTCCGGACACACTTTCCCCCCTTCCAGTCCGGACACTTTCCCCCTTCCAGTCCGGACACTTTCCCCCCCCTTCCAGTCCGGACACTTTCCCCCCCTTCCAGTCCGGACACTTTCCCCCCCCTTCCAGTCCGGACACTTTCCCCCCCTTCCAGTCCGGACACTTTCCCCCCCCCTTCCAGTCCGGACACTTTCCCCCCCTTCCAGTCCGGACACTTTCCCCCCCCCCATTCCAGTCCGGACACTTTCCCCCCCTTCCAGTCCGGACACTTTCCCCCCCTTCCAGTCCCGGTCACTTTCCCCCCCCCTTCCAGTCCGGACACTTTCCCCCCCCTTCCAGTCCGGACACTTTCCCCCCCTTCCAGTCCGGACACTTTCCCCCCCTTCCAGTCCGGACACTTTCCCCCCCCTTCCAGTCCGGACACTTTCCCCCCCCTTCCAGTCCGGACACTTTCCCCCCCCTTCCAGTCCGGACACTTTCCCCCCCCTTCCAGTCCGGACACTTTCCCCCCCTTCCAGTCCGGACACTTTCCCCCCCCTTCCTGACAGGCCAATTTTCAGCTTTTAGCGCTATCACAACACTTTGAATGACAATTGCGCGGTCATGCAACACTGTACCCAAATGAATTTTTTACCATTTTTTTGAGACAGATAAAGCTTTATTTTGGTGGTATTTATTCACTGCTGGGATTTGTATTTTTTTTGCTATGTAAATGAAATGTCCAAAAGTTTTTTAAAAAAAGGGTTTTTTTTATAAAAAATTTTGCAAATAAATAATATTTCATCATAAATCTTAGCCAAAATTTATTCCGTTATCTTTTTAGTAAAAAAAAAAAAAAATCCAAATTAGTTTATAAGCAAAAATTATAATTTTTAAACTTTTTTTTTTACCTTTTTTTTATTTTATTTTTTTATATTTTTTTTTTTTTTTACATACTGTCACCCTAGCAGTATGGTCACCATGGTGACACTGTACTACTTGTGAGGGGTGATGAAGATTTTTTTTTTTTTTTTTTTTTACACTGATTGCTTTTACACCCATATAGGATGTAAAAGCAATCATTTCTCTTTCTCTCTGTCTGCATTCTTGCAGTCATTGAGAAATACTGAGTGAGCTGTGATTGGTCACAGCTTGTCACATGGTACAAGGCTTTTGTGAATAGCCCTGTACCATGTGACCTCTGTGATCATTCACAGATTTCACACATAGTAAGCAATGATGTCAGAAGTGACATCTTGCTTACTACTTTGCATGTGATCACTGATTGGCCAATCAGTGATCACATGATCGGGACCTCGTACAGAGGTCCCGTCCGACGATCCGGAGGAGACAGCGGGCACCGGATCGTGGTGCTGCATGCTCCCAGGGAGTGCGCACAAGCAGGGTGCGGGGAGGCCGTTTATAGACGGCCATCTGACCCTGCACTGCCACCGTCCGGCCGTTTATATACAACGGTCCGGTCGGGAAGTGGTTAAAAAATCATTTTAGGTCTGAAGATGACACAAAAACATGAGAGATTGTCTGAAAATCAGAGACCCCAGAGAATAAAATAGCGGTAGATCCAATTCCAAAATTTCAGTAAAAAATACAAGAAATTTAATTTTAGGGCGCAAAAAAAAGCAGTAAATTCTCTTATTTTATTGTAAAATATAAAAGACGAAGATACATCGAATAAATATCCAACTTGTCAAACTTTAATCCCTCCCGCTCCGGAGGACTCAACCCCAAACCCCCTCCCCCCCCCCCCCCCCCCCTCCTGCCTAGGCCATTGTTTTGTGCTACAGCGCTGCATTACTTTAATGACAATTGCGCAGTCCTGCAACGCTTCACCAAATTTAAATTTGTCCTTTTTTTTTTTTTCCCCCACAAATTGAGCTTTCTTTCGGGGGTATTTGATCCCCTCTGCGGTTTTTGTATTTTTTGCGCTATAAAAAAAAAAAAAAAAGACCGACAACTTTGAGAAAAAAACAATATTTTTGACTTTTTTGCTATAAAACATTTCCAGTAAAAAAAAAAAAAAAAAAGTTCATAAATTTGGGCCAAAATGTCTCTGCTCCATGTCTTTGCTAAAAAAAATACACCCAAAAATCCTGATACGTGTTTACGTGACAGTTATGGCGTTTACAAATGGCGGTATATATACTGGCATTTTTATACTAGTAATGGCGGCGATCAGCGACTTATAGCGGGACTGCGGCGGACCTTCTGACACTGGGGGGGGAATGGACTGACCTTGGTGTCACTGACACCCCACTGACACCAATACAGTGATCAGTGGCTAACAAAAAAAGCACGACACTGTACTAATGGCACTGGCTGGGAAGGGGTTAACATGAGGGGCAATCAAAGGGTTAACTGTGTGCTGGGAAAAAAAAGCACGGACACTGTACTAATGGCACTGGCTGGGAAGGGGTTAACATGAGGGGCAATCAAAGGGTTAACTGTGTGCTGGGGAAAAAAAAAGCACTGACACTGTACTAATGGCACTGGCTGGGAAGGGGTTAACATGAGGGGCAATCAAAGGGTTAACTGTGTGCTGGGGGAAAAAAAAGCACTGACACTGTACTAATGGCACTGGCTGGGAAGGGGTTAACATGAGGGGCAATCAAACGGTTAACTGTGTGCTGGGGGGGGTAAAAAAAGCACTGACACTGTACTAATGGCACTGGCTGGGAAAGGGTTATCATGAGGGGCAATCAAAGGGTTAACTGTGTGCTGGGAATGTGTTACTAGGGGGCGGGGACTGTGTGCTTAGCTGTAATCACACTGCCCTGGATGGCTGTGCTGTGCAGTGTACCTGAGCTGACAGGGAGGAGGACTGTTAGTAAACAAACCAGTCCTCCTCCCCATCAGAGATGATTGGAAAATCGCCAGCCGGGACCATGTGATTGACAGCCGTGGCCACGAATGGCGGGTGTGGGTAGGTCTCACGCATTTCCCCCTACCCAGAAGTGCAAAATCACGTGTGTGTGTGTATATATACGTGAATTTGCGCACCCGTGCCGCCCCGTAGCAGTATATCTGCTATACGGCGGCGGAAAAGCGCCTAAATTTATGCGCACTCGTGAAATGGCGACAAACTTCAGCCCCCCTTATTTTCTATAGGCGACACTTTTAAAGCCCCTTATAGGTCATCAGTTTAGTGTACAGAGGAGGTCTCATGCTAGAATTAGCGCTCTCATCCTGGCGTGCGCGGCGATATGTGACGTATCGCAATCCATGTTTTCCTGCGAAGGCGCCCCAGGGTGTTCTTTTTATGTTTGTATGTGCGTATATGGGGGGCCTCAATGTTTTTTTGGGGGGGAATTTTATGTGCTTGGGTGTAACTAATTTTTTTACAATTGAAAAAAACACTTTTTTTTTTTTTTTTTTTTTTTTACTATTTTTTTTTTCCTCAATCACCTAGGGGACAATGTGATGATTTTTGGTGACAGGTTCTCTTTATTGAGACATTCGAGGTCTCCACTGAATGTAATGCAAGGCACATCGCACTGCATTACATTCCTTCCCGCCTTCCCTGGCCGGGAATCCCTCAACGGGGACCCGGAAGTGACATCATAACGGCACTTCCAGGTCAGGATGGGGAGGGGAGCGGACATGTCCACTCTCATCTAGCCGATGGCGGTGAGCAAGTCCCGGCCCCGTGGATGGGGGGAAGAGGCTGGCACTGCGTGGAAGTAATTGGCGGCATGCCGAACGCTTCCACCTGACAGGTGAGCCCGCTGCTTCCCCGCAGCAGGGCTAAAGGTTAAAAAAAAAAAAAAAAAAAAAAAAAAAAAAAAAAAAAAAAAAAAAAAAAAAAAAAAAAAAACTACCTGCGCGGCGCCCAGAACTACATATCCCAGAATTCATCATCCCTGTGCTCTATGTAGATACCTATATAAGTATCGTTCTCAATCGCTCTCGTTTCTCAGACCGGCTCCGGGACACGTTAATTCATGAGGTCTGCCATGCCGCCACCTGGCTCATCAATGGCGTGCGAGACGGACACGGTCAGTACTGGAGGTTCTACGCCCGGAAATCCACTCTAATTCACCCCGAATTACCGATGGTCACCCGATGTCACACCTATGAGATCAATTACAAGTTCACCTATGAATGTTCCCGCTGCAAGAACACGTGAGTAGCGACCTTGTATTCCGTGTACTACACGTGTGTGGCATGTCCTGTGCGCTGCATTGTGGGGGCGTGTCTTATAAATGCAGATCAGAGGGCGGTCTGGGCATGCAGGAGGGCGGCTCATCCTGCGATGGGGAGTACAGCAGGACGTTGATGGTTCTGTGTCACGTGATCTGAGTGCTCCTATCACAGCTGAGGCATGTTCTGAGAGCTGTGATAGGAGGCAATGTGCACCTATTAGGATGTTGGGAGCCTGTAACGTATTGCAGATGGTGGGTGTCATGTCCTGCAGACAGTCTGTACCTCGGATACAACACCCTGGTCGTCCATTGAGAACTACAAGCTGTCATCCCCAAAGACTGTCAGCACTTGTAGTCTTCCCATTCACAGAATACTGTGAACTAATTACACGGGTGGGCACAGCCCCACACGGCTAAGGGGGGGGGGATTCCCTCCACAGCTGTTAAAACCTGGGGATGGGGGGAGGGGCTGTCAGCAGGGGCCAAACAAATCCTCCAACATTTGAAAAGCAGGGGGTGGGGAGCTTAAAGTGTTACTAAACCCCCAACAGTGCAATCCGTCTGTAGAGGCAGTAGTGTGACGCATGCTTGTTATATTCACTGTGGAACCTAAGGGGTTAATCCTCTGCATCGTGTGAAAAGGCTGTTTGATCCTGTCTTCTCTGATTCTTCCCTCTTATCTCCTGATAAGTCCTATCGTGTGGGTCACACTGCACATGCTCAGCTTGGTGTGTATGGCTAGAGAGTGTTTTTTTTTTTTTGTTTTTTGGAGAGTGCATGTGATCAGCACAGAGCCAGTCAGCACTGCAGAACAGAGGTTAGGGGTTCTGCATCCTCCTAGAGCAAGAATGAAAACTACAAGCTTTAACCAGTGCTGTGCTGGGACACTGATAGAAGTCACAAGACTGCTATGTACTGTTAAAGCAGATATAAATAAATGCGGGGGTCCGGGGAGAGCGGATATTGCGAATGCGGGGTCCGGGGAGAGCGGATATTGCGAATGCGCGGGGTCCGGGGAGAGCGGATATAGTGAATGCGGGGTCCGGGGAGAGCGGATATAGTGAATGCGGGGTCCGGTGAGAGCGGATATTGCGAATACATAAGGGGGGATATGATCTCCATTGTATAATACATAAGGGGGATATGATCTCCATGTATAATACATAAGGGGGGATATGATCACCTATGTTTAGAATAATACATAAGGGGGGATATGATCACCATGTATAATACATAAGGGGGGATATGATCTCCATGTATAATACATAATGGGGGATATGATCTCCATGTATAATACATAGGGGGATATGATCTCCATGTATAATACATAAGGGGGGATATGATCTCCATGTATAATACATAAGGGGGGATATGATCTCCATGTATAATACATAAGGGGGGATATGATCTCCATGTATAATACATAAGGGGGATATGTATCTCCATGTATAATACATAAGGGGGATATGATCTCTATGTATAATACATAATGGGGGATATGATCTCCATGTATAATACATAAGGGGGGAGGGGAATGATCTCCATGTATAATACATAAGGGGGGATATGATCTCCATGTATAATTACATAAGGGGGATATGATCTCCATGTATAATACATAAGGGGGATATGATCTCCATGTATAATACATAAGGGGGAATATGATCTCCATGTATAATACAAAAGGGGGGATATGATCACCATGTATAATACATAAGGGGGGATATGATCCCATGTATAATACATAAGGGGGGATAAACTGATCTCCATGTAATAATACATAAGGGGGGATATGATCTCCATGTATAATACATAAGGGGGGGATATGATCTCCATGTATAATACATAAGGGGGGGGATATGATCTCCATGTATAATACATAAGGGGGATATGATCTCCATGTATAATACAAAAGGGGGGATATGATCTCCATGTATAATACATAAGGGGGGGATATGATCTCCATGTATAATACATAAGGGGGGGATATGATCTCCATGTATAAATACATAAGGGGGATATGATCTCCATGTATAATACATAAGGGGGATATGATCTCATGTATAATACATTAAGGGGGGATATGATCTCCATGTATAATACATAAGGGGGGATATGATCTCCATGTATAATACATAAGGGGGGATATGATCTCCATGTATAATACATAAGGGGGATAATGATCTCCATGTATAATACATAAGGGGGGATATGATCTCCATGTATAATACATAAAGGGGGGGATATGATCTCCATGTATAATACATAAGGGGGGGGGGATATGATCTCCCTGTATAATACATAAGGGGGGATATGATCTCCATGTATAATACATAAGGGGGATATGATCTCCATGTATAATACATAAGGGGGATATGATCTCCATGTATAAATACATAAGGGGGATAAATGATCTCCATGTATAATACATAAGGGGGGATATGATCACCATGTATAATACATAAAGGGGGGATATGATCACCATGTATAATACATAAGGGGGGTATATGATCTCCATGTATAATACATAAGGGGGGATATGATCTCCATGTATATTACATAAGGGGGGATATGACTCCATGTATAATACATAAGGGGGGATATGATCACCATGTATAATACAGGGGGGGATATGATCTCCATGTATAATACATAAGGGGGATATGATCTCCATGTACAATACATAAGGGGGGGATATGATCTCCATGTACAATACATAAGGGGGGATATGATCTCCATGTATAATACATAAGGGGGGGGGTAATGATCTCCATGTATAATACATAAGGGGGGGTATATGATCTCCATGTATAATACATAAGGGGGGGTATATGATCTCCATGTATAATACATAAGGGGGTATATGATCTCCATGTACAAATACATAAGGGGGGATACGATCTCCATGTATAATACATAAGGGGGATATGATCACCATGTATAATCCATAAGGGGATATGATCTCCATGTATAATACATAAGGGGGGATATGATCACCATGTATAATACATAAGGGGGGATATGATCTCCATGTATAATACATAAGGGGGGATATGATCTCCATGTATAATACATAAGGGGGGGGATATGTATATAATACATAAGGGGGATATGATCACCATGTATAATACATAAGGGGGGATATGATCTCCATGTATAATACATAAGGGGGGATATGATCACCATGTATAATAGGGGGGGATATGATCTCCATGTATAATACATAAGGGGGGATATGATCTCCATGTATAATACATAAGGGGGATATGATCTCCATGTATAATACATAAGGGGGGGATATGATCTCCATGTATAATACATCGGTGGTTCACATAGTGAACTCGGTGTAGTCATATCCCCCTGAGGTCATCACAGAGGACAAGGGGGCGTTCTTTACATCTGGAGGAAAAGATAAATGTCATCTCCAAACACGGAAAGGTTTCTTCACAGTAAGAGCTGTGAGAATGTGGAATAGACTCCCTCCAGAGTTGGTTGTGGCCAGCTCAGTGGATTGCTGTAGGAAAAGTCCTGGATTCTTTCTTGGATACACAGAATATAACTGGATATAACATTTATAGGGAGAGGTGATCCAGGGATATCCGATTGCCTCTCGGGGGGTCAGGGAGGAATTTGTTCCCCTGCAGGAGCAAATTGGATCGTACTTTGCTGGGTTTTTTTGCCTCCTCTGGATCAACTGTGGATGTAGGAGTATAACTTTTTGTTTTTGTTTTTTTGTTCAACTGGATGGACTTTTTGTCTTTTTTTCAGCCAGACTAACTATGGAACTATGTAGTGTGCAGCACAGCTCTTGCTCTCCGTCTGTTTATAGCTTTCCTTCTCTCCCTAGGATTGGCCGTCACTCCAGATCTCTGGACACGGAACGATTCGTCTGTGCGCTGTGTAAAGGAAAGCTGGTCCTGCAGACGGCCACGCGGAAGGACGGCTCCCCGGCCACCACCCAGCTCACTCCATTTGCCAAGTTTGTGAAGGAGAATTACGGATCTACGAAGAGGGAGATGACTGGGATGAGCCATGCAGAAGTCATGCGGAAACTTGGTGCCGACTTTTCTTCAAAGACCAAAATTTCTGATTGATTCAGTCGGGGAAATCATATTTACAATGTAGCCGTGTGAAGGAGAACGTCCGCCATGTACAGAAAATTCCTTTTTATCCAGATAGTTCTCATCTAAACTGCTCTAATCCACCCCCATCCCTCCACAGTTACCCTGCAGTGACCTGTCCCCAGAGATTACCCCACCTCTGTGCCTGATCTGCTCTTCTCAGGCTTATAAAAACCCTCCTTGGCACCGCCCGCGCGGAGACCTGTGCGCCTTGGCACCCCCGCCCGCGCGCAGACCTGGTGCGCCTTGGCACCGCCCGCGCGCAGACCTGGTGCGCCTTGGCACCGCCCCGCGCGCAGAGACCTGGTGCGCCTTGGCACCGCCCGCGCGCAGACCTGGTGCGCCTTGGCACCGCCCGCGCGCGCAGACCTGGTGCGCCTTGGCACCGCCCGCGCGCAGACCTGGTGCGCCTTGGCACCGCCCGCGCGCAGACCTGGTGCGCCTTGGCACCGCCCGCGCGCGGACCTGGTGCGCCTTGGCACCGCCCCGCCCGCGCGCAGACCTGGTGCGCCTTGGCACCGCCCCCGCGCGCAGACCTGGTGCGCCTTGGCACCGCCCGCGCGCAGACCTGGTGCGCCTTGGCACCGCCCGCGCGCGCAGACCTGGTGCGCCTTGGCACCGCCCGCGCGCAGACCTGGTGCGCCTTGGCACCGCCCGCGCGCAGACCTGGTGCGCCTTGGCACCGCCCGCGCGCGCAGACCTGGTGCGCCTTGGCACCGCCCGCGCGCAGACCTGGTGCGCCTTGGCACCGCCCGCGCGCGCAGACCTGGTGCGCCTTGGCACCGCCCGCGCGCAGACCTGGTGCGCCTTGGCACCGCCCGCGCGCAGACCTGGTGCGCCTTATTGGACCTTGGCCTTATTGGCACCGCCCACGCGGAGACCCCTTATTCTCTTGGTCCATAGGTAAGGTGGGAAGGGAATGGATTACAGCAGTTTAGTCCTTTTATTGTACTTTAAAGCAAACCTGTGCTTTGTCCATGATAGGGGGAGGATCATTGGTTTGGTGAAAGGCCATGATAGGGGGAGGATCATTGGTTTGGTGAAAGGCCATGATAGGGGGAGGATCATTGGTTTGGTGAAAGGCCATGATAGGGGGAGGATCATTGGTTTGGTGAAAGGCCAGTCACCTAATGGCATAAATAGCCATTTCCTTCACTCTCCAGATGCTGGGAGAATATTCGAGGGTACTTCCAGGTATGGAGGAGCATGTGACAGCGCTGGTACTTGGCCCAGTCCTGTGTGAGCTCCCACTGGGGGGCCGATTATAACTTATACATGGCTGGCTTTCCTCACTCCAACAGTGAATGGAGCAGCAGGATAACCGCGGGGAAGGGAAGCTATCAGCGTGTTTCTCTGCATGGACAAAGGACAGGTTCTTTAACATACAGCCTGCCTACCTATGTGACATCCGGACATCGTCTTTCCAGCATCCCTGCACAGCAGAAACCAGACCGTGAGGGGTAATGCACTGTCAGCCGGTGGGAGGGCATCGTACAATGTGCCGCGGGCCGGTGGGAGGGCATCGTACAATGTGCTGCGGGCCGGTGGGAGGCCATTGTACAATGTGCCATGGGCTGGTGAGAGGGCATCGTACAATGTGCCGTGGGCTGGTGGGAGGGCATTGTACAGTGGGCCATGGGATGGTATTGTCCAGTGTGCCACCGACCGGTGAGAGGGCATCGTACAATGTGCCGCGGGCCGGTGGGAGGGCATCGTACAATGTGCTGCGGGCCGGTGGGAGGCCATTGTACAATGTGCCGTGGGCTGGTGAGAGGGCATCGTACAATGTGCCGTGGGCTGGTGGGAGGGCATCGTACAATGTGCCGTGGGCCGGTGGGAGGGCATTGTACAGTGGGCCATGGGATGGTATTGTCCAGTGTGCCACCGACCGGTGAGAGGCCATCGTACAATGTGCCGTGGGCCGGTGCGAGGGCATCGTAACAATGTGCCGTGGGCCGGTGAGAGGGCATCGTACAATGTGCCGTGGGCCGGTGGGGGTTGCAGGGCATCGTACAATGTGCCGCGGTACTGGGGGGGCCGTGATGCTGCAGATAGTGGGGGCCCTGTGACTCTGTAGACAGTGGGGCCCCCGGAGTCGCCATAAACAATGGCTGTTCCTGTACAGGAGTGGAATCCATCTCTAGAGACTGTGAATCTGATTGGTCAGTTGTGTCCGATCCGTCTGTCCTTTCTGTGTGTTTTGTTTCTTTTTATGAACACAACCTTTCTAATAAAGTTTTTCTAGTCATGCAGCCTCCTGTGTGAGTTTAACCACATGCCGCCCAGCCCCCGCATATAAACGGTGGCAGGGCGGCGCTCGTAGGCAAAAGCACGTTTTAAAACGTGTGCCTACAAAACAGGCAGGGGGCGCGCACGAGGCACGCGCCCGCCCTACCTGTCCCGCGGGTGTCAGCAGCGGGTCCCCGCCGCCGGGTCACGGCCGGTTTTTACCGGCCGTTTTCCCACGATGAGCGGTGAACACTGACACAGAGCAGGGCTGCATTGTTTACACACAGCCTGCTCTGTGACAGTTCGCCGCCAAGCTGCAGAGGGAGAATACAGTTTCTCTCCCTTGATCAGCTCCCCCCTCCCTCCCCCGTTCAGTACACACCCCCCCCGCCCCTTAGTAAAACACTCCCCTCACACAGTGAACACTAAAAATGTTAACCCCTTCCTCCCCAGTGACATTAGTACAGTTTCAGTGGGTTTTTTTTTCACTGATCACTGTATTGGTGTCACTGGGGATGTCAGTGACCCCAAGTCAGTACCCCCCAATGTCAAAATGTCCGCCTCAGTCCCGCCATAAGTCGCTGGTCGCCGTCATATGTCGCTGATCGGCGCCATTATTAGTATAAATAAAAATTAAAAATCCCAGTATCTCTCCCGCCATTTGTAAACGCTATAACTTTCACGTAAACCAATTAATTTACACGTTTTGGGTTTTTTTTAGCAAAGACATGTCGCAGAATGCATTTTGGCAGAATTTTATGACTAAATTTGATTTTTGCATTTTTTTTTTTACTGGACATGTTTTATAGCAAAAAGTCCAAAATATTGTTTTCTTTTTCCTCAAAATTGTCAGCCTTTTTTTTATAGAGCAAAAAATAAAAACCGCACAGGTGATCAAATACCACCGAAAGAAAGCTCAATTTGTGGGGAAAAAAGGATGTAAATTTCATTTATGTACCGTATTTGCATGACCGCGCAATTGTCCGTAAAACTAGTGCAGCGCTGTATAGCAGAAAAATGGCGTAAATTGCAGTATCTATACCATAGTTTGTAGACGCTATAACTTCACACAAAGCAATCAATATACACTTATTGGGATATTTTTTACCAAAAACATGGAGCAGAATACATTTTGGCATAAATTTATAACCAACTTTGAGTTTACTATATATTTTTTATAGCTGAAAGTAAAAAATATGGTTTTTCTTCAAAATTTTTGGCCTTTTTTTGTTTAATGCATGAAAAAATAAAAAGCGCACAGGTGATCAAATACCACCGAAAGAAAGCTCTATTTGTGTGAAAAAAAGGACGTAAATTTCGTTTGGGTGCAGCATTGCATGACCCGCGCAATTATCAGTTCAATTAGTGCAGCGCCAAGTAGCAAAAAGAGGCGTGGTCATTAGGGGGGGTAAATCCTCTGGAGCTCAAGTGGTTAATAAAGGACAGTCCATGGAAGGACCCCGCTTATGTACCCCCCAACTGTAACTATAGAACCACCCCTTCCACACAGTGAAGAGCGCCACCTCCAGGTGCTCCCTCTCAGATCCACCTGCTGCAGAGTGGGTGCCCCCACGAGGGCAGGAGGAGGAGCCAGCTTCATCCAATGAGATCTCCACATCCTGGTTACAGCTGCAGAGAGAGATACACGGCGGTGAATCGTACAGAGGAGGGACACGGGGCGGGTGAATCGTACAGAGGAGGGACACGGCGGGTGAATCGTACAGAGGAGGGACACGGCGGGTGAATCGTACAGAGGGGGGGACACGGCGGGTGAATCGTACAGAGGGGGGACACGGCGGGTGAATCGTACAGAGGGGGGGACACGGCGGTGTGAATCGTACAGAGGGGGGACACGGCGGGTGAATCGTACAGAGGGGGGACACGGCGGGTGAATCGTACAGAGGGGGGACACGGCGGGTGAATCGTACAGAGGGGGGACACGGCGGTTTTGTGAATCGTACAGAGGGGGGACACGGCGGGTGAATCGTACAGAGGGGGGGACACGGCGGGTGAATCGTACAGAGGGGGGACACGGCGGGTGAATCGTACAGAGGGGGGACACGGCGGGTGAATCGTACAGAGGGGGGACACGGCGGGGTGAATCGTACAGAGGGGGGACACGGCGGGTGAATCGTACAGAGGAGGGACACGGCGGGTGAATCGTACAGAGGGGGGACACGGCGGGTGAATCGTACAGAGGAGGGACACGGCGGGTGAATCGTACAGAGGAGGGACACGGCGGGTGAATCGTACAGAGGAGGGACACGGCGGGGTGAATCGTACAGAGAGAATGTCACCGGCACATCGAGGATCACCAATATGGGGCCAAACATTCTAATGAACCATCACATAGTTAGAGCAAGGCAATGTTTCGGACCCCAGCAGGACCCCTTCATCAGGCATGTGCCCCCCCCTGCAGGACCCCTTCTTCAGGCGTGTGCCCCCCCCCGCAGGACCCCTTCAGGCGTGTGCCCCCCCCCCCCAGGACCCCTTCTTCAGGCGTGTGCCCCCCCCGCAGGACCCCTTCTTCAGGCGTGTGCCCCCCCCCCCCTGCAGGACCCCTTCTTCAGGCGTGTGCCCCCCCCCCTGCAGGACCCCTTCTTCAGGCGTGTACCCCCCCCCCCGCAGGACCCCTTCTTTAGGCGTGTGCCCCCCCCCCCCGCAGGACCCCTTCTTCAGGCGTGTGCCCCCCCGCAGGACCCCTTCAGGTGTGTGACGAGACTGAAACGTTGCGTTGCTGGAAC